TGGCTGCTCCTCACAAGGAGAGACTGAAGGATACTAGTTTTCTGCAACTTTGAGTGGTGAGGGATGATGGGATCAGCTACCTTGCTCTTAATGGAAGTGGAGCATTTTAAAAGACACTACATTTGCAAATCTCACCGAACAATCACTTTTGGAAGGTGCCTTTATTAACCACCTTAAAGTTGTTAGAGGGGCTGTGCAAAATCTCATCAGGTGAGTTTATCTTCAATTCTGAACAACGGAAAAATTAATTATAACCCTAAGAATTAAAAAATGAAATAAACAGCAGGAAGCTGAATAAGATTTTGATCTAAGAAAATTATAAATGGGCGAAGGGTCCAGATCAATTTAGAATATTGACTTTTGCTGTAAGAGTTTGGAATTACCTGTAAAATAAGTAGCTTTTGTGGGAAACAGTTTTATTTGGCTATCTTGGCTATTAGAAGTCATAACAGAAAAACCTTATGATTTTACAAAATTGGGCATTAAGGGAATTAAAGATTTAAAGCAGAAGGGAAAAAAATGCAAACCTCTGCTTTATGTCGGCTACTACTAAGACTTACAAAATGGTACAAAATGTTGTAACATTGGAAATATTAAAGGAGATCTTTGAAGAATGGAACAGAAATTAGTAACTACAATATTAATGATGTCTGCTACTATGGATAGATAATCTCTAAAAGATGTTAGTGAAGACATGACAAATATGAAGAAATAGATTTGGTTAGCTGGGGAATTCTGGGAGTTGAAGTGCATAAGTCATAAAATTGTCAAGGTTGGACATCTGTGCTTTATTGTATTCTAGAATCATCATCTTTTAATGACCCCATGATCCCTTGTGGATTGGACACTGGGCAACTGAATGGAGCTGAGTGATTACTGGCCGGATGCCCTTCCTGTTCCCAATGCGGACTTATATTCAGCAGATATATTCTCATTGTGCCCGGGGATAAAAAATATCTGCCTCTATCTAGAATCAAACTCACAGCTCCACATCTAGACCACTGCACAACTCTTTATTGCATTCTAGAATAAAGCCACTAAAATACTTGATTGCCCTCTATCAAAATTAAAGTGCACTTCCTTCTGATATTCTTTGTAGTTTATTTCCAAAGCTTTTTTCTATCTTTCTCAGAGTTTTAACCGGGTTTATTTGTTTACTTGGTTTTTTGCACTTACCACTTTCTGACCTTGAAACTGAATTGCTGGCTGATGACACATCTCCCCTGAGAAGCTCTCTCAACTCCCAGAATTGGACTTTGAATTTGGGAGCAGTGGTATTAAAGCATCAAAGTGGGCATGTTGATGCTTGCAGAGAGCAGGCACATTTGTGCTTTCATTTTACAAAAACAAACCAAAAATTGCCTAAAGAGATTTCATTGCTACAAATAAGTCTCTTTTGTCACTTAATTTTCATGGAAAATTGGAGACTGCATGGGAGTTGGTATAAATAACTCAATGTTGCTTGTTTTTACATTTTGTATATATTGTTTAAATCAACACCTTTAAGTATGTTGAAAGGTGTCAAAATGCCTTTCTTTCGAGGATTCGATTTTCCCGCTGAGAGCGCTCTGGTGCAAGGATACGGACAACTGCTTGAAAGCTGGATCTTTTTATTTTTCAGGAAGGCGGAGAACAGCGAGAAGTCTGAGTTCCTGGGTAGCTAGCTTCTTATGGTAAGTCCCTGGTTTTTTATACCCTTTTCTCCCTTTGTAAGTTGATTTTGTGTGAGTGTTTGTATTTGTGCCTAATGTTTCAAATCCTGTTTGAGTTTGTCTTTATTTCCATCGGAGGGCAAACTCCGCGGGGTGCGGAAGGCAAACTCCACGGGGTGGCCAGATTGTATTATTGGTTTTCAGTAATCTCTTTAAGCTTTAAGATAGTTTTTCATATTTGTTCTGTGGCAATCTCCTGTCTGTCCCTTTTGTAATTTATATTTTGTATCTTTTGTCGTTTGTTTTGGTTATCTGGTATGTCCTGTGTTTGTAAGGGTTTTCTAAATTATCTTGTTTCCTTTTCCTATTTGTCTAGTTTTCTTAATTACTTAGGCTTTTGTCTATAGGGATTCTTTAATACTTTTTATTTGTAAGTTTGTTTTCTGGCTGACACGATGTTCCCCTTGGGCTTTTCCTGTTTTTTGTGACACTACTGCCTTCGTGAAATTCCCTTTCCACAAGTATATGACTTTTTCCAAAGTCATCTTTGAAGGTGCCATTGATATGTGATTGACACTGAGGGGTCATGAATCACAGCTTGTAGCCTCCATCAGGATATACTGCGAAATAATTTATCCATTTCATTGCAGAAACTTATAAATAGTATTTTAATACATATTATATATTTTATATTGTTCCAATAAGTGTATCAGTATGTTTTTTACCTTTTATCTTTGTCAGGGAAAAAAGATAAACCAAAATAATCATAGGCAGAAGTTAAGCACTGAACTCCATTAAAAGTTGTACTTGAGTCTCTACGGTGTTGATTGATATTAAACCAATCTGTTGTGTTGACCATGAAGCCAGTTACAATTTAATAAAGACAAGATAAAACTGATTAGTTTCTTCTTATATCCTAATTGACATTTCTTTCATTACATAATAAATTGCAAATTGTGAAACATCTATGCCATTCAGCTGTGAAAATCAGTAACTGAATATATGTGAGCCAATGAAAAACTGCAAAAATTTTACATGTCCTATCAGTACAATGTAATGTTGATTTTTCTGCATATATTTAAGGAAAAGCAATTATAAAAAATAAGTTTATAATTTAAATTCATCTGTCATGTTTTTAAAATAATTTTCTGCCCTATTACCCTTTAATATTGTTTAGTGTCAGTATTTCTATGCCTGTTTTAGAGTTGCCAATTTGAGAGACTGAGCTAGCAGATGGCAGATAGATAGATCACTGAATGATTCTGTGAGCAACTCAATCTTACTGCTTTGCCTGATTTTGGGTAAAAGTTGCTTTTTATAAAAAATTCAATATTTACATGCATGGTGTTTTGAGTTAATTTTGTGGGTTTGCTTGCAAGCAAATTTTATGTGACAGACTGAGTTAGCCAATGGCAGATAGACAGATCTCTGAATGAATCTCTGATTCTGTGAGCAACTCAATCTGCCTGCTTTGCCTGATTTTGGGTAAAAGTTGTTCTTTTTTTATAAAAAAAATCAATATTTATATAATATTCACATACAAGCCATGCCCAGCCAGTCACATGACCACCAATCCACACCCACAAACTAGCCCACACCCACAGAACCGGTTAGTGGTCCCTGGGCTCTAAAATTACGAGTTTGGTGGTCCCTGAGGTCCAAAAGATTGGCGACCCCTGATTTAGATTACCTTTTACATCTCAAATCTTTTTATATGTAGTGTATATTTGCTGTCTGCATAAGACTGTATATACAATTAACATAAGTAATTTATTTTGTTTCCAGTATATGCTAGCCATTTTGCAATACTGGTTAGAAGATAAACAAATTAAATTTGTGACAAATGGTTAAGTGCTTACGAATTAAGAGCCAAATGATGGACAGATAGTGTGTTTAATCCTGGAAAAAACAAATTCCAAAGCTACTTTTTGGCATGAAAGATAACCTTCCATTGACAGAGGATGTTCTGGGTCACTGACTGATGTAAAAGATCCAAAGGAGCAAGGAAATGTAAATGTAGGGTATTTCTCTTATATCATGTCCTGCTTCATTGGCATCATAGTGGTTGCAAAATTTTAGAAACAATCTTAAATACACTCGCTTAGAGTTTAATGGCAGAAAATGCTTATAAACTGACTTAAAATATTAAAAATAGGATTGGGTTCCTCAATCCACAGCTGGAACTTCTCTTGGCATATAAAAAAGAGAAAGATAATACAGAATTCTTATGTCTTGTATGAAATTTGTTTTGGCAATGCATGTTTACATCAATTTCTTCAGATTTGTTTAACAATAATAATGTCTGAAGTTCCTTTGATGAATCAAACTGCTCCTGGAGAAGAAAAATAAGAAAAAATGCAGTGCTTTATGCATGCTATGTTGATGTTGAGCAGAAGACCCAAATACATGAATCTAAATATATGGAATCATTGTAAGAAAAAAGTGGAAGACAGAAGGACTTGAACATCTTACATTGTTCCTTTGCTACAACTCATTCTGTTTGGTTGTAAGAGTAGAAAAACAGTAAGATAGTTAGACTTGACACCACTGATAATTCTATGACAGATTCCTCATATTGTTCTGTTTCAAGGTTGCTGGCATACATATACAAAAGTTGAAATAGTTGGTGCAATTAAAGCAGATAGAAGAAAACAGGAATGTAATTAAAATGCCTGGCAAAAAAATGTCAATATAGACCAAGAAACAATAGCAGAGTCTGAATATGTTCCAAGAATCATAGAAGGTCAAATCGTGTCCAAGAGTGAAAGGATTACAAAGAAGGCGGAAGAAAAATCATGAGCTGGAAAGCCAAAGACTGACTCTTAACAAAGACTACAAGCAAAGTGACTATCTGTCTGCTGACACTTGGCTACAATTACTGCCCTTTGCCTAGTAAGGAGTTTCATTGAGGAGCGTTGCTCTGCTTGTTTCTATAGACATCGAGACCTGGGGGTTGTACCTCATTATCTAATTGTTCCAGTAGAACAGGAGATGCCTGTGGCTGATCAGCCTCAATTGAATTCTGGCTTACTGGCTTCAGAGTTTGACTATTCTGAAGCAGAGGCTCAGTTGGAGTAACACTGTGAGATTCAAGGTCAGGATCACATTCTGAATCATGGCACATAGCAGATATAGTGCTGAGGAATAAAAATAATAATATAAATATTACAAAGAAGACATATTTTAGTTTAACTAAAAATATTTATTAACAATGTAAAATGTTTAATATTTTACAGTTAGAGCTATTTTGGCATGCCCTATAAGCAATAACACTAAGTTGATGTTCTGACACCATGCTTCAACCTTTACAGGAAACAAAATGGAATAATGTTTCGGTGGATTTTATTGTTTCCCACACCATCTTTTAAATTTTCTACTTAAGGTTGTAACATAAACATGTTCAGATTTTTTATTTAAAAAAAGTAAAATAGCTATTCCTATGCATTATACAATATGTAGATATTATCTCATATTTACAGGAACAACATATCAATGTTATGTTGCTTATGTATTAGAAATTAAAAAATTGTACTATGAAGATCTTGTATAAGTTGTGTTATAGAGTGGAAGACTAAATATGAATGAGAGCACAAAAAGCAATAGAGTGTGTTTGTTCTCGTACAATATTGGCTCTGTTTATTTTAGCATTTTAGAATTTAAGCACAATTTTGCTCTTCTAAACAGTTTTCTATGGATTAAAATTGCTTAATAGAATATGTTCAAATGTTCATAACATCATACTAGCAAGAGCTACAGTCATACTGTTGCACTGTACATAATTGGTTGTGGCTTGTACACTAAATAAAAAATTTGCATGTGTTGGTTAATAATCATATTTGCATCTAATCACAAAATGATTTAAAGTAGACATGCTATATGCCATCAAAAAAAAGTTTAAAAATATTCTTAATAGTGTTCAATTGGGTTTCTGAATTTGGTTCCTTTCAGCAACAAACTCTTTGAAAAGGAGGGAAGAAATATAACAAGGGGCATGTAGAAAACGCACATGGTCATTTTAGAACAGGGCTTCTCAACCTCAGAGACTTTAAGATGGGTGGGTTTCAATTTCCAGAATTCCCCCAGCCAATTGAGTTGAAGTACACCCAACTTAAAATTTCTGACGTTGAGAAACACTGACTTAGATCATTTTAACTGATCCCAATAAAGGACATTTTGTATTGGCTGCAGTCATCTATACTCCTCTGAAATGGATCATTTAACTGGAGACAAGACAGCACAATCCAAAGAATCTTCTCTTCCGTCTTCGCACTAATGGATAAGGAGTCAAGTTTAGCAGGCTGCTATCATCTGTGATTTTAAATAAAAAGAGCAGAGTTAGTCTCAGTAGCAATTGAGTGTGGATTCTTAACAGCAACATTTCTGCCTTACCATAGAGCAAGCTGTGAAATCTGGAGGGCTTTAAGGGGAAAACTTGATTCATGGGGTCTGGGGAAGTTTTCTTTCAAACTTCACTATAATAAATAGTAACTCTTGTGTACATTTCACTATTAGAATATATTTTATTATGGTTTAGGAGAGAAGCACCTTCCTCAATCATATTTGATACCTTCAGGTTTCAGCAATGCTAGCACCTTGAATACTATTATTATTGCTATTATCAACAATTATTCTGATCTACTTTTGTAACCAGGATGCCTATAAACATATTGAAAATGTAAATAGCAGAAGAGATTAGAATAACTCTTTGGTGACCAAACCAACCGGCTTAATTTAATATGGACATCAGTTAAAAACTCCAAATTACAAACTTGTCAAAATAGAAAAGTGTGAAAGAGATGTCGAAGTAACACTTGATAGCAGAGAAGTGATTAACACAATTAACTCAAAATGGAGTTACATCTTCCAATTTATGGGGACCAGTAGTATCTTTTAATACTACAGATACAGCAACAGCAAATTTACAGAGTAATATGAGAATAGGAAGGGATGGGAGCTAAAGTACATGATACTGTACACAAGAGCAGATGTAATATACATATTTTAGGCTTTATTTTAGCTGGGCTAAGGAGGAAGCCAGAGGTAAAGAACTTGTTCCTTTCCAACATTGCTGAACCCTTCAGCAATCCTAGCCAGTGTGGGCAAAATCAAAGGATGCTTAGAATTCAGCAACAGCTGCAGGATCATGTCCCTCAGTTACATTTTAGTTTATATTCAAAATATAAACTACAAAAAGAAGAGGAGGTAGTCCCATACTCCCTGGCATGGGAGACAACAACAGATATCACCTGTTTTGAAGCATCCAATCTAGTTTATGAGAAATTCATTCACCATTACTGAAAGGGATTTAGCCAGCCGTCTCAACTATCGTATTGATAAATACAGAAAAGAAAAGCTTACCTTGATTTTTCAATGGTAAAGGCATAGTCTCCCTGAGTTTACTTAAAAGGTTTTTCATTTCTCTCATATCCCTGCAGACATAAAGCACAGAACTTAAATAAAGACCTATTTTTACATTTTAGAATATAAGAACACCACTACGGAATTTTTAAAAAAAGGAATATGCACACCAACCAAACATGGTATCAACATGTTTTCAATAAATATCAGCTTTTATGCTAACAATAAGAACAACAATTAAAAAAAACATAAGGAAGAATTAGAGAATGGTAAGAATGGCATCAATATATATTCAAAATCTATTTATCTTGGGTGTGTGATACATTTCTAATACTTATTTAAATATTTATAGCCCAGACCAATCATAATGGGACGACAGGATGCAATGAATAAATAAACATTCAAACCAATCTTTATTACAGTCAACTCGTTATTACTGTGCAAACATTAAAAACCTATGACAATAAAAACCAGCAATAAAAAAACTAGTACATCTTCGTGATATACTGTAGGTTGACAAATATACACCAGGCAATTTACAGCAAATATACATCAGTATCATTCAGCATATTAGTTTTGCTAACAAAACTGAGATCAGTTACCATTTATTTAGGTATCTAGTCCTGCATTGTTTTCAGCTGTGATACTGAACATATGGAATAGCTTGGACAAATTCTACTAAATAAATATAAAAGTAAAAAATAATAATTTAAGAACCAAATTAGACCACCCACACCCCCCCAAAACATCATACCTCTCGGTGTTTTCAATATCTGTGGAAACCTGCCATAAATGTTGTTGTATTTCTACTGGTGAAGATGATGTTTCTTCCAAAATAGGAGCTTCTGAACTCTCCTCTAGCTTACTGTCAAGGCTCTTGGGTGCTGCACAGGTCTCTGTCCCTTTGAAAGAAAGCACCAAACAAAACACATTTAATCACAAAGATGTTATGTCAATATCTTCCCCCTAATCCTTTCACCTGCCGATTTGGCAACGTCTGCTTAATTTCGGTGCTATAAATAAAATACATAAACAAACCAACATTGTTCAGGCCCAAATAATCAAGAACAAACACGTGGAGCTACTTCTGAGTAGTTTATTTCTGTTTGTCTACAAATAGAATCTTACCAGACTAAAGCAGTAATATACTCCATGAGTTCCTAGGGAGGATCTCACCTTGTTTTCTTCCTAATAGAGATTCTTAGCTCCGGGTCTTGTTGCCTTCTGGGAAAGCTCTTCCCTCCTGTGGCTCCAGACTACATTCCACTATATCAGGGGTCTCCAAACTTGGCAACTTTAAGACTTGTGGACTTCAACTCTCAGAATACCGAGAGTTGAAGTCCACAAGTCTTAAAGTTGCCAAGTTTGGAGACCTCTGCACTATATAACAATATGACAAATTGAATAATGCTTGCTGCGTAAATAATGCAATGCAGGGTTTGCAGTTTTCATACTTTATTCTCTTTCTGCTAAGAAAAAAAGAATTGAAGCATGTGCGCCAGCTGGAATGTTCAAGTCTCCCCTTCACTTACTTTTTTAAAAGGCAGGATCTGCCTTTTAAAATGGTAAAATGGCCCTTTAAAAAAGCCCCAGCTATGGTGCCAGGCACATTGTCCACTGAAAGAAAGGAGAACATTTGAAACAGCAGCATGAGTTAGCAGGCTGAGGAGGGGCGGAAGAATCCTGATTAAGAAAACATAAAGTAGGGTCTAATACTAGCTTTATCAAGAGAACTGATAAAACAGAAGAACATGGACATCTAAGCCTCTAGAACACAGAATGGTAGATTAACCATAAGCAAGCAGCAAGAGGCAGAACAGTAAATAATGACATAGAATGCACATTAAAGTTGTTGAGAAAAAAGTGAGTGAAATAGCTTCTAAATATTAAAAAAATGAAATGAAATGCTTCTTTCTAAGAGACATTTTTTGAACATTTTTTGTACAATTTTCTAAAACAAATGCCCTTATAGCTTCTGTTTCCACAGCAGTTTCCAGAACAAATCAGGTCCATATTGAACTAATCTTAAAACATTCTTTCTTTCTCATGTTTTGTATTGCCATAGTGTTTTGGAGCAATTTTTTTAAACAAATGATTTTAAGGTGCAAGTAAGTGTTTTATTTCTGTGCAGGGTTTTCATGCTCTGAGATATTGCTGATATTTATGTTGTTTATATTTATCAGATATTGCTGATACTTGTGCTTTACTGTTAGTGATCAGACTGTCAAAATAAATAAACTTTCAAAATATGCAAAAATCTACACTACATGAACTAGACAAAAAGACAAGTAACACCTATGCTATACCCTTAACGTTTAAAATGCATACGCGTTTATAGAAGAGAACAGTGTACATGTGTGTCAAAAAAGGCAAGATGATACTCACAGTCAAAACCTTTTATGAGGCGTGTAAAAATGTTCAGCTGCATCGTCACAGCCATTATTTTGACTCTGTGATATGACCAACTGACCAGTCCAAAAGGCCCTTTCTGGACCAAAGCTTTTTTAATTTACAGAGAATTGAGTTCTCTAAGTTTATATGAGTCTCCTGAGTTAGAGAAAGTCCCAGAATCATCCCATAAGATCCTCCAGTCTGTAGCAGTCTGCAAGAAGACTCTGGAACTGCACTTTCAAGTGCCAGGCAATATCTACAAAAGCTGGGAGGTGGAGCTGCAACCACTTCACGATTGAAAAAGCAGCCTTTGGGGTGTTTTTTTTAAAATGGGTAATAAATCACACATTTCACTTATTAAAACACTTTATTTATTATCCTTACTAAGCTAAAAGAGGCTCTTTTCAGTCACAGTCTCTTACTCCTTTTTAAAGATCTGCGCCATTTTTTGAGAAACATGGGATACTTTTTTTCTTTGATAGAGAAATACAAGGAATTAAAGGAATTGTGGTTTTATTTTGTCATTTCTATGAATCTGCCACATTTATTTGATGCTGGGAGTTATAATTTATAATTTTATTGAAGAATCTAACAAAAAATTGATAATTTGAACAAGTATAGTGATCTTTGTTAATAAAGATGATGATAATCTAGAAAGATTAATAAGTGCAAATAGAAACATATATCATTTCCCACAATACAGAAAAATGGATTTAGTTAAGATGGTGATGTAAACTTTTTAACCAAGAGATTTAATTTGATCTTGTTTTTATGGGATATTGCTTCTGGTTTTTATGCTTGAAACAAAAACATGAAATTTAGAATTAATAGAAGATTGAATCGATGGTTTGGTAATTCTATAATTATATAATCGGTTTGTAATAATTACAGTAATGTAAAAAAACTGACGTCATAAATGTATTAGCATTTTACTGTGTTGGAAAGGTTTAGAAGTCAACACCATTTTTTCTTTCCTTTTTTTATCCTGCACTCCCCCTTTTTAAATCTTTATTTTAATTGTACTTTATGCTATAATAACTTAATAAAACTTTCATTTAAAATGAAAAGAAAAAAAAGGCTGACAAACTATATGGCTTATACAGCTATGGACCTGCTGAAGTTTTGCTTGTTTCAGAGCAGACTCAGACCACTGAAGAGGTCTAGAGCAGTGGCCCCCAATCTTTTGGGCACCAGGGATGTTGGAGAGAGGTTTTTCTGTGGATCGGAGGGGGCGTGGTTTTGCACGCTGCCTGCATCCTGCACATGGGGCTTTACTGGTTTGCACAGCCTGGTTTCTAGCATGCCGTGGACTGCTGCCGGTCCATGGACCAGAAGATGAGGACCCTTGGTCTAGAGCAGCCCAGGAAAGGACTGCAGTTGCAGAGTAGCCCAAAGGCTACAAATAGGACCAGGGATGAAGCAAGGCACCTGTCTTCTTTCTGCAGTCAGTCTGGCTGAAGACTAAAAAAAATATATATCAAAGGCTGCAAACTCTAAGAATAATAATTAAGCTAGGAATAATTCATGTCCTTATTTAACTCTAAGGGAGAGGGGGTTGTACAAATGGTAACATACTTAACAAGATAGACTATATCAGAAATGGAAGCTTCATGTTGCCATTGGCAAGATAATTAACTTTAAAATGCTTGAACATAAGTCACAGTTTTACTCCCTGCTGATTTATTGGAAAGCTGCAGGAAGGCAGGAGAGATGATAATTTAAATGACTTAGCTCAAAGGCTGCTTGACTCAAAAGAAATTTGCACTGCTGAAGGAAACCTTTCTAATCTAGCATACATTATCAATAAAAAGGAGAAAAATCATAAGGTTTTTGGATGCTGAGCATCTGATTATTTTTTGAGAACTCAAGATCTTATGACACCCCAGAGCAAAATCGGGCTCTGTGACAGCAGGTTAGTCAATTTAAAGCAATTTCATTATATCTTAAGTTCCTTCATGTACTTAAGATTCTATTTATGCAGCACTTGCACATTTTATAATAAGAGTGAGGAAATCAAAACACACTGTTCAACTAATCCATTCCTTGGATGCTTGGCAAGCTATTTCTGTATCATGCCAAGACTAAGTTACTAGAAGTCATTAGTTTATTACAGTTATGGAACACAGCAGCCTAGAAATAAAACTGTAAAAATAAGCCCTTAACAAAAATGGTCTACCCTCGTGGGCAATATTTTTCTGTTGCACTCGCCATATTGTGGAGCACTCTTGTCTTGAGTGTAGACTAGCACCCTAATTGTTGCCTTTCCAGAAACTGTGAAAGACAGAATTTTTCCTTTCAGAAATGAATGGCCATAAATCTACTTACCACTTTTATGGTTGCTTGTGTTTTTATATTGGCTTTTACGTTTTTTACTGTTTTTGTTTTTTTAATCCAGTAGTGTATAAATAAAGTAAGTGTTCATGTACTTTTCTAAGAAGAATATGAAATACGTAACATAGGGAATAAATGTCATAGTTTTTTATTTCTAAAGCAGCTTTTATGGTGGCAGCGTAGTACTGGCTTTTTTCAAGTTATCTTGACTGTGCCTCATTTTTAATTTCCAAAGGAGAAGCATTATGGCAGAAATGCATTATGATGCACAAACCATTTTCACCAATGGAAATAATGTTTTCCTTTTCTTCTTTGCAAGTTTGATATTTCCCAAAGTATGTAGCACGTTGATTTTTTTAAAGGAACTCCTTTAAGCAAAATGCCCTGCTTTGGACACAATTGGTCTAACATGTGAGATAGCTCTCCCGTTAGCAGAAATAGCTTGAGTCAAGAGGGTAAAACAGAAGTAAGAGGCTACTTCCTTTAGCTTCCAAAGGGAGACCAAAAGAAAAAAAAAAGCCTTCTCTAGGTAATTCAGAAGGCTCTCTTGCCCAGGATTCCTTCTATTTCAATTGAATTTGAAGGACTTTGCAAATAATGACTCCTTTAGGTCAGTATCAATGCCACAAGGAGTACAAAAGCATTCGACTATCTGTCAGCAATTTTCTCCTTACAAACACTTGACTGCCACCAGGCAATTGTTCCACCTTGTTCAGGACAAAATGGTTATGAAGTGGCTCTGAAGTGGCACCTGTGAACAGATAGAAATTCCCAACATTCATCACAGCAAAAGCTCGTAAATAGACACCCACATTCTCACAGTGGCTGTGTTTCTTTTTTTTTTATGGTTCACCTCAGCCATCACATTTCCTCCTTAGTCTGTCTTCTTAAAAGTACATGTGGAAGAGTAGACTTAGAGGGTGAAATGATTAAAAATCAGTATGTTAATTGCTTGGGCATAAGATGTATAAACAAGCATCTACTTCGAGTGACCAGTGTTTGTCAACCTGGCTGGGAAATTGTGGGAGCTGAAGTCTTAAAGTTGCAAAGGTTGAGAAACACTGATTAGACAAATGGAAATAAATTTGCTTCAAAGCATTTTAGACTCTGCAGGTTGGCCATGTTTTTGCTTGTCTGTGTGACTGCACATGCATATCGGAGAATTGTTGGAAAAATATTCAAAGCAGGCAAGTTACTGAAGATGTGGATTAATTAACATATGTAAGAAGGGCAGCTACACAAAAGAAATAAATCATAATGGAGTAAAATGAAGTGTATATACTTGTAATATAAATAACACGATTTCTTTTAGGCCAAAAGTTAATGAAGCGAACAAAAAAAATAAATTTCCTACATGTTAGAAGTTCAAATAAGGCAAATACAAATTTCTTCACTTAAAAAAGAGAAGTTAAATGTGTAAATATAAAGTGTTTAGCAAAAGACCTTGGAGTAAGTCATTATAATCAAAAGATAAATCAGCAAGTTTAATTTCCAATGATGTGAAATTACTAGTGTACATGTATATGATTTATCATTAACTTGATTCTAGTGTGTTCTAGATGGGTTACAGAGAACTAATAATACATAAAACAAGAATAATGAACAACACTACTTTACCAAAAACAGATGAGGGGACGTGCTATTTTTGTGTGGCATAGGAGTACTCCTTTTAAAGTACTCCTTTCCTCCTCTCTCCCCCATAAAAATATCTCCAGAGCAAGCCGTGCAGAGTTGAGTTCCTAAGGTTTGGCTTCTGCTCAATTAGTGTGTAGGAGGAAGGCATCATGCTTGCAAGAGAAGGGCACATCTGGATTAAAAACAGCTCAGTGTCTTTTTGAAAAAGAGCTATTTTAGTTTCAATATGTTTACTGCCTCCATACAAGGAGGTTGATTTTATTTCTGTAGATTAGCTCCCTGAAGGAAGAAATTGGACCTAGGTAGCAAGGTGGACTTTACAAACGATATAAAAAGCAACAGGGAACCTTAAGCTTTGATTTTGCAAAATTGTTTTGTATCCACAAGGTAAGAAAAATCACCAAAGCATCCAACTGTGCGGCTTGCTTAAGTTGATAACCTATCTTCCTGAGTTTAGAGGGTCAGAGACCTGATGATGATATATTCATAATTACACGTTCTTGGGAACATAAGAAAGAAAATGAGTGCAGTCAGGTGAAAAATTATTTGGTAGACATCTCCCAGAAAATTGCGTAGTAATGCAACTTGACTGTACAGCACAGATTCAAAACCACAGTGCCAGGAAATAAAATAATATTCAGAGTTAAACATGAAAGATGTAGTTGTGAATAGCTGCTATATGTTAAGTCAACTGTGATGCTTTTTAAATGCTGGTTAATAATGCAGTGATAACACTCTTACTTTCAGAGGATTAGGAGTGCTTGGTGGACACCATCTTACTGCTGAGAGAAGACTGAGAACAAAGGTATTGCTTGACGCCTCTTAGAAATAGGGTTTTCCAGGATTAATGAGATAATTATTCAGAAATGCTGTTCCATTAGTACATGAAGCCAACGGTATTTTTTTCTACTGGCTTGTCTTGCTATGTATTTACTTTGCTTCTTGCATCTGGTCCAATATGTTTGCTTTGATTGGCATAATTTCAGGTCCTGCTCAGGAGACCATCATATTGCTTTCTATTTGGTAAGTGGAGATGTCAGAGGTCGGTGATATTGTCATTCACTACTGAACTAATTTCCCTCCCTTATAAATTGTCATTTCACCAACTACCAGAACTAAGAAGTAGAATCACTTCAACAATTCTGCTTCTGAATTTCTCCCTCTCTGATTTCTTTCTGTCTTAATTTTTATGAGAATTCTGTGCTCTAAGAAATTATTTATTAAATTTACATGCCACCCATCTCGCCTAAAGGTAACTCTAAGTAGATTGAAAAAAATGTGTTTTTTCTTTGCTCCTCCCCCCATTTTCTATTCCCTAATTTTCCTTTTATGCCTTATGTTTCCAATCAAACTTGAAAGGATTGACTTTTCTCTTTCTGTTAAACAGCTTACTAAAATATTACAAAGGAGGAAATAAAAAAGAAGACAAATGGTTAACTGAGAGAGCCTTGCATGGTTTTTTTAACTGTTATATACTGATAGCTTCTACATTGGGTGGAAAAGAAAACGGCATATGAATCTCCCATCCACAACCTCAAAACTTAAGACAAACAAGCTTGAAACAAGCTTGACAAACAAGTTCCTTCCCCCGAGTAATACTGATCCTTGATGCTACAGACTGAGATATTGTTCACGGAGAACTAAGTCTTAGACTTGGTATTTCATGTCACAGAATGCTGTCAATTGTCCTCCTCTATTAAAAAACACAAGGAGGTGTGTAAATGGTGCAACCATGGCTTAAATTACTACTGCATCAGTGAGGAAGCAGACAATTAATGTACCAGTCTTCCTTTTCTACAACATATTGCATATTTTATAGTCATAGCCTCTTTGAAAATTGCTTTATTCAGAGAGGAAAGAGCTCTCCAAATTTTCATCTAACCACGATCTGGTTACAGAACTCTAGATGACCAGTAGATGGCAACAAAATGTTTTCAACATGGAGGCCCTATTTCTCATAAATAAAAGCAAAATGCTAGAGACATGTATGTATAGGTATTTTATTTATTTATATCCCAACTTTATAGTATTATTTTTATAAATAACTCAAAGCAGCAAATATACTCCATTGTCTTCCCTATCTTCTCCATCACAACAGCCATTTGATGTGAATTGGGCTGAGAGAGAGAGAATGATGGGCCCAAAGTCATGCTGGCTGGGGAATTCTGGGAGTTGAAGTCCAAATAACTTAAAAGTTGCTGAAATTGGGAAACACTGCTCTAGAAGAATAGCTCATTTTCTGGGAATGTATATCATGAGACAAAATGGGAGAGTAAACATGTTTTGCATCAGGAAGGAGGGAATGTCCCCACCAACCATGATTGTTAATTGGAAAGGAGGCCTACTTCTCTCCATTAGTCAACATAGCAGAGAAACAAGAAAGAAATTGAAATGTTCTTTCATAAAACTAAGTGCACAGAGTTTTGAAAGACAAATGTATCATGCACTAGCATGCCAGGTATCAAAAGCCCACCTGCTTTTTCATCATGCTATTTCAGGACAGGGTAGAACAAAAGCCAGAGGGTGCTGAGCAGCAAACATTATGCCCATTCCATTATCCATCAATACAAAGGTAAGTGAACTATATTATGATTTGGCAGCAAAGAAATCTTCAGAAACCTGGGGCTGAGATTGCCACAGCCATCTTCTATGTCCAGCCACCTGGCAACCAAGACCAATTTGGACACAGGGGCACCTCCAACCCATATGAATACAAATAACCCAAGCGCCAAAAGTATAAAAGTACAGAAACAGCTGATGACAAGAGAGCTTTTCCATAAGAACATTTGGGAACAAGACATTTTCTAAACAAAGGTATGTGATCAATGTGAGTATGGAATTGAAGCAATAGAAATGAAGACAGCAACACTGAAGTCATGCTTTAGCAGTATCAATCTGGCTTTATGACATAAAGCAACCTACGATTCAATTCCTGGTGTTTATTGTGATTTTAGATTTCTAGACAAGGTTTTCTGTCTTCTGAATGAACTTACTCAATTCTCCAGTCGCTAACCTCTTCCGTGACCCTCAACTGAGTCTTTACTTCTGACTCCCCTATGATGAGCTATTATGGTAACCTTACTTATACCATGGCATACTAATTATTTCTGAAATCCATGTAACATATGTGAATTTCTATGAGGCAAATATAAATACTGTGTACACAGAAAATAGAAGTTGTGCATAAGTTGCCTAAAAAAACCCAGAGAAAAATCAGTGTTGACCACTTTCATTTTATATGGCCAGCTTTTAACAATGGTATAATAATCACCCCCATGAAAAGCCAAGTAATTTTCTGCTCCAAGTAAGACTTTTTTCATAGTCCCCAGAAGCTGGTTAATAGGGCCCTGCTTTACTTCTAGAGAATCCACGAGAGACATATTTAGATTGCTGAACTAAAGAATGACCTATGAAAGGAAGTTAGTGCAATTTTTATGTTTTGAGCGGGTGTGCTATTTTGAAATGTGGGATCTGTGATTCCAAATAACAGTTGATTTTATTTTAGCCTACGGAAGAAATAAGAAAAGATAAAATGGTTCTTTTCAAAAGCAACAAATCAACATTCATATTCTTCTGCAAATCTGTATCGGACTATTTATACTGCCTAAAGATGCAAGAAATCTGAACTGCAGTAGAAGGGCTACAAAGGTCTGGGCTGAGTTATAAAGGCTCTGTAACTATCTATGGGCTGAAGATTAACAGATGAATGTCCTATTTCACAATTAGCCATTGACAGCTGAATTGAATGAAACAATATCTGAAGGATTTATCCTATGTTACCTTCCTACCTTTCCGATGAAGTTGAAGTGATCCAAGAAGGCATATGGATTTCAGCATCTCTGTGGTGTACATTTCTAAGCAACACTGCAACTGGATATATAGTCTACAGATTTCAGGATGAATTTCACCATCTTCTGGCCTGCAACAGATATATGTATGTGTAAAACAAGTAGAAAATGTTATCATTGTCAACCTAGAATTCTCCTCCCCACATTTCTCCATACAGTGCATTATACACACTCTGTGTGTGTGTGTGTGTGTGTGTGTGTGTGTGTGTGTGTATACCCCTCCCCGGGTATGGCAAGCCCTGGATTGGGGCTCGATACTTACACTATATAAAATATTTTTCTTTTGCATGAAATGCCTAAACAAAAAAATATTAATTGTAGGGACATCTAGAAGGTATAGAATCATCAGCTACCAATTCCTCCCTGCCTTACTTCTCTGGATAAGACAAGCCAAGATTTGAAGTTCAGTTGAGGAAACAATTTGTGATTGTTATCATGAAAGTCAATGACGTCAAAAGAATTGCATAAGCCAATGAATATTTCAAAACCCAGGTAAGAAAATCAAGCAAACACTTCAGGAACAAACATTCCCAATTTTATTTCAAGGTGTTGATTCCTTCCTGTTGCTTTTTTCTCCAGCAAGAAAAATAAGTATGCTAATGATCACTAGTTCATTAGTCATTTTCCAACTTTGCTGATTTATTTTTTTAAAAAAATCACCCAACCCCGATTACTAAATCTTTCCCAAAATTTGCCAAATGGAAATGCAATTTCATTTTATGTAAGAGAATGTTAATTCTAATTCCATATGAAATGGATTTACAATTACATTAAGAACTGATTTACATCAATGTAACAATCTGTGAAATCTTTGATAAAATTTATAGACTGCTATTCTTTTAGCATAGAGATCTATAAATGCTTAAAGATATATAGCTCTTTTGATCAAGTAATACTAGCATTCCGGCTCCAAACATATTCATTTATTTTTTAAAATTATCTGCGATATAGCATTATACTTGACCACAACTATTGTCAATCCTAATTATAGCTGAAAAATTATTTTTAGAAACTTATTTTGAAATTAACTATGAGTTGTGAAAAAGATAACAATTCTATATTAGTTATTAGGTTCAAACAAAATTAAACAGTGTGATTTATTGAAAAGCAAACAAAGTTCTGTGGAGAGCCTTAGTAGGACTTAGTATGGAAGATACTGAGATGTACTGCTCCTCTGTCTATGAGATTAATTAAAATCAGTTGGTACACATCTTATTTAATGACAGTAATTAGGACCATAATTTCCATAGCTAAATGACAGCTGTAAAGTGCAAAACCACATGATGGTGCTTCTTAGTAATGGCAGTTCCAGCATTTCTGGTTGCTATCATTAAATTGTGTAACGTTGTTAAACACATGGTCGCCATCTGTCACCTCTTGCCGGCTCACCTACTGACTTCGCAAATAGTGATACTGCGACTGTATTTGTATTTATAAACTTTGTATTTACAAACTAGAGATGAGGACCGATTGGAAGTACCACTTGTTCAGCACAGTTGTAATTTCCAATAGTCATTAATGAGTGGTCATTAATCAAGGATTACCTGTATTCTATGCAACACTAAGCCATTTTAAAATCCTAGCGGGTGAACAATAATGACCTGATTTGCAAATACCATTAAGCCTAAATCAAATAAAATAATGTCTTAGTGTTATATGTGAACCAAATCTTTAACAATAAAAGATACTTTACATTTTGAGAGATTATGAAGGAAAACATAATAATCTACTGACTTCTATTCAAAAGCTTGATAGTTATACAAAATATAGTTCTTGGAGCACAGGATATTTTCCTTCTTTATTCATATGGGAAATATTCCATGTGAATGATGGGAAAATAGCCATGTGTACAGGGTTCTGGATTACAGCCATATTTATTTTTAACCAAAACATTAAATAAACATTTCATTAGGCCAAGATAAATTACAAGCATGACCCAGTATTTCTCAAAGATCTGTTGCTATGCCTGCCACATAGGTCAACATTACCCCAGAGAGACAGATGGTCCTGACTTCGTTGGCCTTTCACAAGGCATTAAAGATCTGAACCTTCCCACCCACATTTGGGCTGGGAAATGTTAAAATCAGTCTCATCTTCTAATTGTTTTGTCACAGTAATTTGAAGGACAAGGGGCTTTTTGACCCATGGCTTGTGTTGTAGGCATTATTTTGAATACAGATTTTATGAACCATGTTAATTATTTTTATAGTACATTGCTCAGGGTTGTCTTTGAAAAATGGTTGACTGCGGATTTACACAAATAAGAAATAAAATTAATTGTACAGAATATGACATTTCAATGCAATAATTTTCTGAAAAAAGAGGAATCAATCAATACTTGCAATTTCAAAATACTATTTCTGAGTTAGTATTATTGCCATTATTTGTAAGAGATTTTTCTATCTTAAACTACCATAATCTATCATAAGGACAGAAACTGACAACGCAGTATACAGTGATTCTCCAGCCAGACATAATCATTATGTAAAATGGAATAGGTGCCTTTGGTATTACTTTCCTATCTGCAATTTAGCTAAATTTTTGAAGCTTCTATTGTTACAGAATGCAGGCTTGAGTTTCTACATATCAGTTGCCTATGTGTACTGAAACATATGTTTTGGAAGGTATGCTTGAAAAAACAAAGAAGTTCTCTCTTTCTGGAAAATTAAATGAATGTACCTTGGGCAAAGTCCTGAAGCTGAAGTGAAAAAAATAAGGGTGCTAGGAAGTAGATTACAGTTAATGAGGTATTCAGACAAATAAATACATTTATTAAAGTTACTAGCTCATGGGCCACACATTTTCTCTTAATGTTCTGAAAATCCAATATGGAGGTCTGCAAAGGAGAGAATAGAGTGGAAAATCCCAGTGTAATAATTTCAATGCAGTATTTCATCCCATGAATTAAAGGAAAAAGTTATACTGATTTCCAGAAGCAGAACAAACGTCTTGCAACGAAAAGGCCTTTGGACCGTCTACTCAGGAGTGTCAAACTCATGTTGTCATGGCGGCAACACATGACATATCCAGACAGACTTTTCTCTCCTTCACTAAACTGGGTGTGGGCATGGCCAGCACATGATATATCTGGCCTTTGGCCCGGGAGTTTGACAGCCCTGATCCACTTAGTAGGAAGCAAGTAAAGGGAAAAAACTGCCCAAGACTTTGGAAGGATTCCATTAGTCACATTAGGCAATATTTGGCTACATTCTACACACTGATTAAATAGGCAAAAATATGCTTTTGTATATGGTAGCTTGCTGTATACCCAAGTGGACATTTTAAAAAGATAATTATCCTGTGAATGGAAGCATGTTCTGTTAAAATTAAAATAAAACGGTATTTTTTTAAATCAAGGAAACTAAAAGCCAAAATATAATGATCACTGACAAACTACCTAACAGCTGATGATAACAATTTGAATATGTGAGCTCATTTTAAAATAGGAGTGGTTTAGTGGGATACAACAATGCACACATTTCTCAACTATAAATGCTAAATTTGTTTTTCACCCTCTCAGGCAGAAGAAGAAATCCTTCCCTTGGCAGAACCTGTGAAATACTATTCTTCAGGCTCTGCAATTCATTCTGAAACTCAGGAGAACCATCCTCTGCCTTTTCATCACATCCACATGGTTTCCTTGTTTCCTTCTAGTATCTGGGAGGCTTCTTGGAATGCTGGCCCTGCCTAAGTGCCTTCTGTGTCTGATGCACAAGTTCCATAGAAAGCTGGGGACTGGACAGTTTTACTATTAGCCTTTCACCTTCTCTTCCAGGAGTACTTGTAGCATGTATTCTTATTGTCATCTTCTGAAGACAACCACAACCACAAGCCTTGATTCCTTTTTCAACATTTATCTTGTTTCTTGTGGCTTCAGCCTTGCCACGTCTTCACCTTTGGAACTATTCATGAAAATCTGAATCAGGTAATCCTCGACTTATGACCATTCCATTAGCTACTGTTTTGAAGCTACAGCGACACTAAAAAAAAGTGATTTATGTGCGTTCCTCAAAATAACAGTCATTGTAGCAGCCCATAGTCACATGATCAGAATTTGAGCGCTTGGCAACTAGGACGTATTTACAATGCAGTATCCCATGGTCACGTGATCACCTGCAACCTTCCCAACAAGCTTCTGACAAACAGAATCAAAGGAAGAAGCCATATTAGCTTAACAACATGATTTGCTTAGTGACTGCAGTGATTTTCTTAACATTAGCAACAAAAAAATCTCAAAATCGGTGTTGTATCCTTTGGGTGGAGAACCAACTGCTGAAGTATTGTAAAGTGCATAGAATACACCTAGATTAGCAAGTAACAAACTTTTAAAGTACTTAATTTAGTCCCCACAACCATTAGTTTTGTAATGTTGTATCCAGCCAACAGTGATTTAGTATTTAAATTAATACAAGAGAAAGGAATGAACAGGGACAGGACTGTCTCTATTGAAAATAAAAGTATATCCGTAAGGTTATTACCGCCTATTAAAATGTTCTTCTTAAATTATAGTATATTACAACAGTGCCTTATGATACAACACTGGAAAATATCATTATGACAGAATACTGGAAAGTAGATTTTCGTTAGCAAAATATGCTCATTTCTTTTAGGGCTATTCCCATATTATGGCATCTAATTCCCTATTCTGTTTCCTCAATAATCTTGGGTAAGAACCAGAACCAGAAATGAACTGGGGAACATCCCTATCCCTCACAATTAATTTCCTCCAAGAGAAAAAAATGCCTAAAATAGAATTCCATTAGGGAAATATAGAAATAAAATGGTACCCAATTAACTGTGACATAGTATGGACATTTAAAGATACAGCATTTCCAGAAGTTTTGGAACTAATCTGAAGAAACTCTTTTAGTCCCTCTGCGAAGAAAATGAAACACATGAATGGCTTGGTTATATCACCAGTAATTGGAATTTATTAAGGCATCAATAAACATGAACCCTTTTGTGCACAGAGGTGACTAAGATAGGACACAACTTTGGAAAGACAAACCTAAACCTGATTTGCAAGAGTGAACTGGTGATCTTGGCTATTTGTCAATGCCTTCATTTTACT